ACTGAGAGAGTCAAAACACCTGAGCAGAAAGCTGGTGACTCTCAGGCCTTTAAACTGTTCTAGGGGCTAAAAGGAATTTTTTTTTCTCCTTCACTCCCTTTTCCCCAACATTTTCTTGCTCAGCTAATTGGCCCCAGCTGGGAACAGACCTGGGCAACAGAAATGGGGGCCAGGGTATGGCAGGCTCCACAGGCCAGCCCAGGCCGGGAGGGGAATGTCACTGTTTATTTGGAATGGCTGTGTCCCGCCTCCAAGGGAGTTCAAGCGGTCAGATGTGTCCAAGTCTATTAGTGAAATCTGACAGGGATGTCTCTGTGTTTGGAAAAAGGGCTATGGCCTGCCATATCCCAATGCCCAATAGGCACTGACCACCAATCATGGCTGGTAGAGGGCAGGGGTGAGAGGAGGTCAGGAGTTCTGGACCTCAGGCTCTGCTGAAATGGGCTCTCATACATGCTGCAGCCCAGGCAAAGCCTCAGCAGAGCACAGCAGCATGGTCACAGAGCTGCCATGGGAACTGTAGGCCCTGCCCTGAAGCAGAGGCACCACTACCAGCCCAGGCATCTCCTCTGGGACTCCTGTGGCAGCAGGACACAAGGCCAGGGCTGGGTCTTTGGAGCGGGATGAATGACTTCAACTCCCAGCTCTGCTGTCCAGTTGCTTAAGGTTTCTGGGTCTAGGTTCTTTCACTTGTGAGATGGGCATGCTAGGAAAGAAAGGAATAGGCAGCGCCGGCCATGAGTATGCACAGTTCTGCCATGTCACCCCCAGCAGCCCAAAATGGTGAGCAGGGGTATCGATTCCCTGCAAGGAAGCCAAAGCTCAGAGTTAAGGGACCGGCCAGGATCAAAAAGGACTTAAGGCTTTTTCTGATTTCTGTCCTTTCCATGCAAAATTCGTACATTTCCTAGGGCTGCCATAACAAATTACCACAAGTTTGATATCTTAAAACAACAAAATATTTCTTCTCTCACAGTTCTGGAGGCCAGAAGTCCAAATCAACATGTCAGCAGGGCTGGTTCCCATGGAGGCACCAAGGCAGACTCATCTCTATGCCTCTCTCCTGGCTTCTGGGGCTGCCGGCAACCATGGGCACTCCTTGGCTTAGAACAACACAGCTCTAATCTCTGCCTTGGTCTTTACATAGATTTTTCTCTATGACTTTCCATGTCTTCTCCTTGTCTGTCTCTTATAAGGACACTGGTCATTGGACTTACGGCCCACCCTATTCCAGGAGAGCCTTACCTTGATTACATCTGCAAGACCCTTCTTCCAAAAAGGTCATATTCTGAGGTTCTGGGTAGACATATTTTTGGGGACTACAATGGAACCCACTGTAGTCTACCCTCTGGTACCCAAAATTTACATCCATCCCACATGCAAAATACATTCACCTCTTCCAACATCCCCCAAACTCTCAGCCCAATAAATCATTAAGTCCAAAATCTCATCTAAATTATCATCAGCTCAAAAGTTCCTGATCTCATCATGTAAGTCACCTAATCAGGTAGGAGTGAGACTCTAGATATGGTTTATCCTGGGGCAAAATGCCTCTCCATCTGTCAACTTAGAAAACAAGTTACCTACTTCCAACATTCCAAAAGGGAGATGGTGGAAAAATTACAAGGGTCATTGATCCCAAGCAAGTTTAAAACACAGTAGGACAAATTCCATGAGGTTTCAGTATCTGAGACTGGCCTTCTGTGGCCACTCCATTAGCCTCTGCTTTTGTGTATAGCCCTGCCCTCAGAGTCATTCTTTCTTTTAGTTTTTGAAGGATAATATGTGTTTGTAGCTGAGTTGTTCTATCAGTGTGTTTCTTGCCTATAGCATCCCAGAAGTCTGACAGCTTTTTATTCATTTGTCAAGTCTCTGTCCCTTTTAGTCCAGTGTTCTTGCTGGTATAAGATTCTCAAAATCCTTGAGGCTCTCTTATATACATCAAGGGGTCCATGCCATTAGCCAAGAGGGCTCTCCGCATATCCTTTCTACAGAAGTCTGTCTCTATTCCTGGCTACCGCTAAGTTGCTTGATTGGATCTGTGTGTCACACACCTCCTCTCTTCAGCAGAAGGTTGTCCAGGCTCACCTTTGGCTTTCTCTCCAAGACACTCTTTCTCAGCAGTGAATTTCCTAACCGGAACATCCTTTGCAATCCAGATGGACCAAGAATCTCCCAAATCATCAAGCACTTGTTCCTGTATGCTAACAGTTTCTTCCTCAATTCATTCATTTATCCTCATGTTTTACTATAAGCATCAATAGAGAAACAAGGTAGCATCTTCCATACTTTGCTTAGAAATCTCCTTAATCAAATATCTGAGTACATTGCTTACAAGTTCTGCTTTTCCTGACTAGTAAATTAAATCATCAGGCAGTAGACACCAAAAGTGTTCAAAAGTAGGTGGGGAAAAACAGGTGCACAAAAGCAAAAGGAGAATTAAATTTATATCTGCCAAGTACCTGCCATTTGCACAAGTACTGAAGATCAGTAACTGGCATCCTGATAGGCAAGTTCTACCTTTATAAGGACAAAAAGGGTGGCCAAATAGCCCTTGAACATCCCTGCCTCCTTACCACTGCTGACTAGCTCTGCCTCAGCCCTTCTCCATGCCCTTGGCCCTAACATTGCAGCCACTGACTCTTATCAAGAACCTTTTTCTCCCTCTAGAACCTCAGGTACCCCCCAATTCAGTCTATCCCACTTCCCAGAGAGCCCTCTTTTGACACCTCTTTCATACTCCCAGCTCCTCTCCCAAGCTGCAAGCATGTCTTCTCCTAGAATAGAAGGGATACCAGGTCAGGGTGGCCCCCAGAGGTGACTTAGAGGGCACAGAGGCTGGAAAGAAATTTAGTACTGATTCATTTTCTGTTCTAGCGAAGAATCTGCAAACAGTCACAAAAGTAATCTTCATTTTGGTAAATATAAACTAAGTCTACTTCTATAATTTTGTGCTTTATTTTTTAAGATTTGCATTTTCAGTCCCTGGCTTAACTAGATTTTATTCAAGTGGTCTTTTTCTGGGACAAGTGGTCTTCAGAGGAGGCTATGACAGCTGGTAGAGGAGGGAACTGTGACTCACAGTGTCCAGCTCTGGCTAGGTTCCAAGGCTCCTTAGATATGGTATGACCCCTGCCTTCTGACTCCCCCGACTTCATTCAAGGAGCCCTGGAACCTGGCCAGAGTTGAGTCCTATCTTTTGCTTGGTCCTTTCTGGTCAGGAGACTCTTCCCTAATACCCCCAGCCCCTGCAGGAGGAAGTAACAGCCACACTGCTATAAAATGAGCTGGGGGTTGAAACCTGAAGTTGCCTTCACTTGGGGGAACGCTGTTCATGGCTGCCCTCCATGAAATGCCCCTTCCCTATACCCAACCATGCTGCTCTAGACCAGGGAGGGCATATACAAGGCATAGGTGCCAGCAGGGCCTCTCTCTACTTCCCTTACTCAGGCTAGGTGCTGCTATCGTAGTCCTCTCACCCAGCGAGTGACATGGTTCATTGTGTCAATTTAGCTGGGCCACAGTGTTCCAATTTTATTCTAGGTGTTTCTATGAAGGTGTTTTCAGAAGAGATTAAGAGTTAAATTGGTGGATGTTGAGTAAAGCAAATGACCCCCATAATGTAGGTGGGCTTCATCCAATTGTTTGAAGGCCTTAAGAGCAAAAGGATTAACCTCCCCAGAGAAGAGGAGATTCTGCCAGCAAATGGCCTTCAAGCTGCAGTTCTTCCCCAGGCCTCAATTCTGCCAGCCTACCCTGTAGATTTTGGACTTGCCAGGTGTTATAATAGTGTAAGCCTATTCCTTAAAATACATATCTATTTATCTATCTGCATCAAATATTGGGTGCATTAGTTGGTGTTCTCCAGCAAAACAAAACCAATAGGAGATACAGATATCTAAATATTTACATCTATGTATCTTTACCTGTGTATCTACAGATACCTAGATATCGGTATCTCCCATTGGCTTTGTTTCTCTGGAGCACCCTAACCAATATAACTAGTGAGCCAAATAACATTAAAATGCCTCAACACAGCCTCCAGGTAGCCATTCCCAATTAGCATGCAAATTGAAATCATGCACATTCAAGCCTCTCTAGCAGCTAGCTGAGTACACAGGGCTGAGCCCCTCCACTTCCTGAACTGCAGGCTCTTTAAGGATTAGAGAACTGCCCCAGATCCCAGCATTCCCAGCAAGGTCTCACAGGAGTTCTAACTAGCCTGTGTTCCCCACCTTTATTCTTGTTGAAGGGGAGGGCAGTCAGAGAGGCTGTACGTTACTCTTGTCCCATAAAGTAAAACTATTAAAAATGCCTTCTGAGTAAGGGGAATATCAAGGCACTAGACACATTTTGAATCAGAGCCAAGCCATTGTAGTAGAAGGAAGGGTGATGGGGAGGCATGTGCCACTCATCCTCCTCACAGGTCTTCAGAAGGATAGCGCGGCATTTGCCAATGGCCACCAGGAGTGTGAAACTGACCTGGATTTCTTCCAGATGCTATGACTCTGAGCATCACAAGATTCATATCGTGCTTAATTTGAAATTATTGTGGTTAAGAAAAAGGTACCCAGAAATAACTCCATACATACTTGCCACCCTGACATACAGCTTTAGTGCAGAAAGGGAAGTTTGCCCTCCAGAAGCTGCATTGTTGACCATGTGATCTCAAGCCCACCTCATCTTCTGGAGCCTCAGTTTCTTTATCTACACAGACCACCTACTTGGGAACACCTTCTTGTGGCACATAATAGGCCTTCAATAAACAGGTGCTATGAGAATTAGGGAGAGCAGCAGTCCTAGAATCAGAGGTGAGAGACTTGGAGCCAGGTAGGGCCAGGCAGCCAGAGGGTGGGAGCACAGGAGGAGAGGTGGGGCAGAGCAGGTAGTGGGAGTAACAGGGCAGGCACAGCAGGCTCAGCAGCTAAACAGGCAAAGGGATGGTCCCCCTCCCTTGCTGCCAGGGAGGAGGCCAGAAGGAAGGACAAGGTAAGACTGACCTTGAGGGCAGGAATCTCCACACTATCACCGAGGCTGATGGAGCCTGAGAGGATGGTCCCTGTCATCACAGTGCCTTGGCCTTTGATGGAGAAACAGTGGTCCACAGACATGAGGAACGGTCCTGAGGGGTCTCTTGTTGGGATGGAAATCTGGGACGTCAGGAGCTAGAAAAGAGAAACTGGTGCCACAGTCTGTGGGGTGAAGAGCCAGATGGGGCAGGGCAGAGGAAGGCAGAGGGTGTGGCTGACCAGCAGTTCATTAAGGCTGCCAAGGTGGACTCAGCTCAGAGGCCCATGCCCTGGTAAGGTGGCCTGGAGATCAAAACCACCAACTCCCTGGCTGCATTCCAAGCTTCTAACATGCTCTCAGCAATTTCCGCTCAGTCTGAAAAAAAGGCACCTGGAGAAGCTTCTTCTGTCCTCTCCTGCGGGACAACTACAGTGATCTGTCCTGCAAGGCCCTCCATGCTGCAGCAGAGTAGCCACTAAAGGACACCCTGTCCTATTGCTTCCTGGCCTCGTGCATTTCCCCAGCCTCCTGATGCCTTCAGAATTTAAGACTCTTCATCATCTAGCCCCTAGGTAACTTCAAGGCCTCATCTTCCACCACTCCCTGACTTATGTCAGAAGCCAGCCGCAGGCAGGATTAAAGTTTTACCAGCTGGCTCAGCCTCGCCTATCCTCACCAGCAATACCTACTCTGGACAGGTTTCTCTGTATGGTCACATTTTTCCTGCCCCCATCACCATAGCTAACACTCTACTGTGATCTTCTCTCTATTTTCTCGCCCATAGGGTTGTGAAGGCTAGGTATCTCCAGTAGCTGGCACCGTGCCTAAGAGAATGACAAGTGAAAGAAAAAGAAACCAAGGGGATATATGGAAAGGGAGGAGGAAAGGGTTGTTTCCAGGGGCAGCTGCCTGTGTTTGGTATGGGAAAGCCAGCGGTGTGGGTCCCAGGAAAAGAGGTGTGAAGTTATTTAATCTCTTTGAACCTCAGACTCTTCCTTGGTATATGGGGATAAATAATTTCAGACTCCTGAGTTTCTGTGAACGTCAATAATCCTGTATGCAAAGAACTTAGTAGAGTGCCTGGCCTGTAGACAACAATATCACTGTAATAGTAAGCACTGATAGGCACTGTTCCAAGCACATTCTACATACTAACTCATTTAACCCTCATAACAACTCCACGAAGTATGTGCTCTTATCTTCCAAGTGAGGGAATTGAGGCAAGACAGAGTAGATCATTTGCCTGCAGTCAGAGAGAGTGGTGGTAGAGCCAGCACTGGAACCACAGTCCAGCCCCAGAACCATGCACATTGCCACTCCACCCCTCTGAGCTGTCCTGAGCATTCTGGAGGAACTCTGTGACCCTATTCACACTGCTAACTTCCTTAGTGACAGCACCACCAGCACCCCCTGACACACCCTTCCTGATGGATGACTGGGCTCCCTCCCTGACCACCAGCACAAGTTGGAAGAACAATCTGGGCTTCAGCCCCACAGCTTCCAAAGATAAGCCTCCCATCTTTGGTGGAGGCACCCAAGATGGAAGCTGTGCTGCCCCTGCTGCTGAGCCCATGTCCTTCACCCCTGCCTTGCTGGCCCCCAGCCCAGGTGGGGTACTGGAGGAGCTGATACAGTCTGAAGGACTGGAATGGATGCCACGGTGCCAGGGTTCCAGATGGGTGGGAGCTGCTTTGTCTCAGTGAAGGTATGACAAGAGAAAGGAAAAAGCATGGCATAGCAAGGTGTGATGAGCTCTGCAGAGTCTCTGGCTGGAGGGTGAGTCATGGGCTTCGGTGAACCTTAGGAGCCCTAGTTTGAGGGAGGTGGGGGAGTTGTGCTAAGGTGTGAGCAGGGAGATTAATGGTACCAACTAAGTCCTCTTGCTAGGGCTGCCTCTCTTTCTCTCCCAGGGGAGTGGGGGACACAAAAGGGCCTGCCTGAGCAGGGCTGGGGCTAAAGGACAACCTGATTTCAAGCTGACAATACCTCAATTAGTTCTGGAATGCCCTGTGGAGCTTCAGTTTCAGGGGCCTCTGGTCCCCCCGGCTTGGCTGCCACGGGTATAATCGGTGCACCTCGGAACCTGAAATGGAAAATAAGTAACATCACAGTACAGAGATCAGCAACATGGACACAAAGCATGTCCAAGCAGCACCTGGCACAGCACCAAGTGTGAAGAGCAGCATCCTCTCCTCACCCCATCAACTGAGCCTAGAAGATAGCACCACTGTTCTTGCATGTGGCAGATGATGCAATGGAGGCCCCAAAGGGAAATGCCCTGCATTGGACATCAGAATTTTAAAGCACTCTCTTGATACTAAGCTCCACTTTCAGATCCCTCCCTAAGGGATCAGCAGTGATCCTGGCTCCTAGGCTTCTGAATAAAAGAATTCCTTGAAGAAGACCAGTAAATACATCCCAGCCTTCTGAAGAGATGCAAGAAATAATGGTGACCAAAAAGTCCCTGCAGACGTACCTGGAAGCACATCTCTACAATCCCAGTTTCTGATGTGGTGCCTAAACTCTGATTCTTGTCTAACCTCAACTGAGAAAGCCCCTGCATCTTTAAGAAGACATACTTATTCTGCGTGGACATTTATCTTTTCCACTTAAAAAAAAAAGGAACACTGTAAGAGGAAAAAAAACAGAAGGAAAAAGAAAGTAAATAACCCCAAATCCCATCATTGTGGTGTATTTTCTTCCATCCATGGTTTTTCCATGCTTTGCCAAGGGATTCTTTTATTCATATTTTGGTTATAGTATGCATACAATTTCATATCCTGTTAGTTTATTTACCATTATATCACAAAGAACTTTCTGTTGAATGAGAGCAACAATAACAACTTACATGGCTGAGCCATGCCTATAATATGAGGTTTAAATGAAAGCATCTGCAACACATGATGGAACTGCCGCCATCTTATAGATGGGAAAATGAGGCTTAGGGAATCTAATTGATTTGCTCCAAGTTGTTGGCTACAAACCTCAGAGCCAAATTTGAACCTACCCCATCTGAGTCTGAAGCTAGGGCTCTCAGTCTCTTTGTTATACTTCTCCCTGCCTGAACCTGTTCTTTCATTTTTGACACCTGCACAATGGCATGACCCAGAATTGTCCATGTTTTCTCCCATTACTTATTTGTGATATTTCAACATTTTCACTATTATAAATTATACTGTGATAAACATGTCAGTGGACATGAATGACTTTTTTTTTTTTTTTTTTTTTGCCTTGACTTTGAGATAAATTCATGGGGTGTAAATCTTTTTTGCCTTGGCTTTGGGACAAATTCGTAGGGTATTTCAGTGAATATACATTGAAAGATCAGTGAAATGATAGAGCAAGGACATCTGAAAAGCCATCTTCCATGGAAGCAAAGAACACTGGCAAAAATGATCAGAATCAACTTACTCAGAACTCTGAAAATTAACCAAAGGCTTGAGCAATCTGTAGAGTGTTTATTCAAGAGGAGTCTCAATAAGACCAAGTGTGAGCTTTGGATATTTTAACTTGCCTTCTTCCTATCTACCCTTCCCCAACTCTGCAGCAGTCTTGAAAACCAACACTTGCAATACTAGTGAAAACCAGGAGCCTGCCAGGCACTGAAAGGGGCAGAATGGGTTTGAGTTCCTTCAAAGCCCTTCTCCCAGAGAACCATCATTATTTTCCTGTCTGGTGGTTCCCTGGAAGGCCCTACTCACAATGCTGTCTTTATTTGACCTGACTTGGAGCTTGCTCAGTACAAATAGTCTTTTCCCTGGGGGAATTTTTTGAAAATAATCAGAGGTAACTGTTTAACATCACAGCTGCCTGATGGAAGCTATGATGTTTGATAGCCAAAAACTTCCCAAATTTTGTGAAAAATATTAATCTACACTTTCAAGAATCTCAATAAACTCTAAGTAAGATAAACTCAAGGACACCCAGACCTGGCACATTACAATCTAACTGTTGAAGGCTAAAGACAAAGAAAATCTTGAAGCTATCAAGAAAGAAGTGACTTAATCATGTACAAGGAATCCATAATAATATTAGTAGCTGGTTTCTCAGAAGAAATCATGGAGACCAGAAGGTATCAGGATAATATATTCAAAGAAGTGAAAGTTAAAAATAAAGAAAAAAGAAAAATCTCTCAATCAAGAATTTTATATGCAGTAAAAAAAATATGTTACAAAAATGAAGGGAAACATGGAATCACATGACCCAGCAATTCCACTCCTAGATATATATCCAAAAACAATAGAAAACAGATACTCAAATAAATATATATCCATGCATGTCCACTGTAGCACTATTCACAATAGCCAAAAAGTAGAAACATCTCAAATGTCCATCAATAGATGAATGGATATACAAATTGTGGTGTGTATATATACACAACAGAATATTATTCAGACATAAAAAGATATGAGGCATCAATACATACTTCAGTGTGAATGAACCACAAAAACATTTTGCTAGGTGAAAGAAGTCAGACACAAAAGGTCACATATTGTGTAATTCCATTTATATAAAATACCAGAATAGGTAAGTCCGTAAAGACAGAAAGCAGATTCGTAGTTCCCAGGCTGGTGGGGCACAGAGAAGGAGGAGCAAAAGGCTTAATGAATATGGTTTCCTGTTGGGGTAATGAAAATGTTCTGGATTAGTGATGCTGGTTGTACAACTCTTTTCACATTGAAAGTGTGAATTTCATGGTATATGAATTATACCTCAATTACAAACAAAATAGATGGAAAGGTTTGCTACCTTTTCCACCAACACAATGAACATCTAAGATGCCTATTTCACTGTACATATAACAAAATAGTCTTTTTAAAATTATTTTTAATATATGCTTCATTTTAATTTCTATTTCCTTAATAAGTAAGCCATACAATGTTGAACCACTTCCCACTGTTTGTTTACCCAAAGTATTTTAGAAGATGTTTCTATAGTACTTCTAGTTCTCAAGTTTGTTTCCTCCAGGAAGAGCCACCCTTACCTTCCCCTGATACTGAGGCCTGCTCTAAGGGCTTCTCTGTATATAGTTTAGCATACAACACAGTGGGAGTGACAGAAGGTGACAGGACCCTTTACCAAGCACCAACAGTACAAGCAATTGTGCTAGGAGCTTTCCATTCCCCATCTCCTCATCACAATCCTATAAAATGGGTGTTCTTCTTCCTCCTCTTATTTCATAGAAGATGGTCCTAAAAGCTTGGACAGCTTTGGTAGCTTGTTCCACGCCACAGGCTAATGAGTGGCAGGGCTGTGATTTAAAGCCAACTCTGAGTTTACTTTCCACTTGAGACTATCATGAGAACAATCCTCCATCAGCCTGGGTTAGAGGCAAGGGCATGTGTCTCTTCTCAAATCCATATGAGAATTTGGAAAGTAGCTGATCTTCAAGGATCAGGGAACAGCCCTCTCAAGGGTTTTGTTAATCTGATATAGACTTATATATATGTAATTTTAGTTCTCAAACCAATGAAGGAATGATAGCTATAATTATAGTACCCAATATTATAACAATTTGCTATCACTTTCAAATTGCAGACATAAATGTACTGAATCTTTAACAACCCTCTGAGGCAGGAAGAACTGCTGTCATCATTCCCATATTCAGAGTCATACATTCATTCTCCAAATACTGAAGTACCCACCATGCACACAGCACTTGGCCAGGTGCTTTCACATGACTCCATTTAATCCTCACAGCAGTGATGCCAGGGATTATATCATCATTTTAGAGATGAGGAAACTGAGGCACAGAAAGGGCAAATGACTGCTAAAGGGTCACATGTGAAGCACATGGCAGAAGTAAGGAGGAATCTAGAGCTCAGCACTCTGGTCCTGAAAGCCCTGTTCCAGAGCCCTGTCCTTCCCACTGTGCTGGTGCTAGGATCCCCAGGACGACCTCTAACATCCCTTACCCAGGGACACCAACCCAGAATATGGCATCACTGGTCTTTCAAAACACAAGACCAGAGGATGGAGCCAGTGTCAGCCTGGGCACTGAGAGTGAATGACAAGACATCAAGGTCGCTCTGCTCCCTCCCCTCATCCTCCTCTCAGGGTTGACCTGTACATAGAACAATTGTCCCACATTCTGTTCACAAGCTTTGTCAGATTTGTGTGCCACCTGCACTATTCTTTGCTCATTTATTTTCCTTAAAAGAATTCATGTTCTTACTTAAATATGTTTATTTTAAAATGCGATTTCTTGTCACTATGTAAATGGAAAACCACTACATGCCACAAATAAAAAGTAGAGTATAAGTCCTCCCACCACCAGCCACTTTAAAGACCCATGCAGCAATGCTCTGCACTCCCGCTGCATAACCTGCACCTGGCTCCTAAGATGCCGAATGCCCATGCTGGGGAAACAGCTTGATGTGCACAGGCCATCCTCAAGAGGTGACTACTTCCTGCACTTTTGCCTTCTGACCTTTATGCTGAACCTGGTTATGCTGTAAACTTGGTAGTGCCCGTTATAAGTTTCACTGTAACAACATAATTAATTTAGTATCATGAAGCAACAGTGTGAAAATAGCTGTTTCTATGAAAACTAAATTGAATGCCCTGGAAAGGTGTGATAAAGACGAATCTCTTTAAAATCTGGGGTTAAATTAGGTGTGGATAAGAAAACCCTAAAAGACTTGTGGGGAGGTTGTGTGAAATCAGAAAAATTCTGTACTCAGATTTTGCAAATCTTGCTTCACTGATTGCGGGCAGTGCACTGCATTCGGGAGTGGTTTACAGATGAAAGATGACTTGGAGCTCTAGTTAGTGGGCTCATCCTGGAAGAAAAGATGGGCTGGGCAGGACATATCCCAGCAAGTGACAGGTGGAACAAAGCCATGGAGACCCTCTGGAGCGCCTTTGAGCAAAGAGAAGGAAATTGCTGCTCAAACTCTCACAACAAAATTAAAATCAGTCACTAAGGCTTTCTCTGGGAAATCTTACTAGAGAGCACCTCCACAACACTGGGAAAACTGCACAAACCTAGATGTGACCAAGAGAAACAATCACATACAAAGAAAGTATGCCACACTTGGATAGAAAAAGTCAGAATGATCACAGTTGCTGCCCACATGATGA